AACTTTTGGAGGTTGTTATTGAGACTGCTTGGTATCAGCGAAACATGTCTCTAGAGCTGTGTTAGTTAAGAAACACAACAAAAGTCAACCATAGCCCTGTGGAAGAGAATAGCTTTATGTTCCACAAGTCCTGAGTGCATGCTAGGCTTATCAATTATTATTTTCTCCCTTTACATTCAAGGAACTGATACTTTCGATTTATCCACTTTCACTATGCATTGCAGTATGTCTTGGAAGAACTTAATGTAAGGTCTCTTGTCCCATGCAATGATATTCTGAAGTATGCATCTCTAAAAGCAGAACCAGATTTCAGGTTGGTTAAGTTTTCTACCTTCGTTTTTGTTTTAACCCTTGAGCTAAATGTGCTTTAGCCTTTCCAATAGAAATGTAGAGTGCAATTTTACTTGTTCATTCCTTCAGTGTATTGGGAAAGCGACTTGGAAAGTCAATGGGGCTCGTTGCAAAGCAAGTTAAAGAAATGTCTCAGCAAGACATCTTAAGATTTGAAAAGGCTGGTGAAGTAACGATCGCTGAACACAAGCTGGAGCTAACAGATATTAAGGTCTCTTATGCTATGGTTTTGTTTTGTGGGATAGAATGAAGTATATACTGTGAAGAGCTAAATTCTGACGTGTTGCTTTCATGTATTGTTCAGATTGTCAAGGTTTTCAAACTCCCCGATGGTTTGACAGATAAAGAAATTGATGCAGCTGGAGATGGTGTGAATCTTAATTGATTATTCCTTTCTATGGTCAATTTATGTGAATCCTGGTTGATTATTGGTTTGACAGATAGATATAATCTTTGCTTATGTTCTTGTTGCAGGTGATGTTTTGGTGGTTCTGGATCTACGAGCAGATGAATCTTTGTATGAATCAGGTGTTGCCCGTGAGGTAAATTGATATAACGTATGATACTGCACGAGTCCTAGATTAAACCGAAACAATACACTTTCTTATAACCTTTTCTCTTTTCTTTATCTAAAACCTTTTATCTCCTTCCGACTGTGCTTATGAGCTTTCTTTCCGTGTGTTAAAAGATTGTCAATCGGATCCAGAAACTACGGAAAAAGTCAGGTCTGGAACCAACAGACTTTGTGGAAGTGTACTTTGAATCATTGGACAAGGAAGAATCTGTTTCGCAACAAGTTCTAAACTCCCAGGTAACTGCTTTTCTTTTGTTCCTCAGTTCTTGTTAACTTAGGTTCTATTTGAACTCTACAGATGTTTTATTGCCCTGTATGAATAAATTATGTGTGGCAATTATTACATAATCATAAATCTACATTGATTAAATTCTTATCTCTTTATATACTCTCAACTGCATGCTTTAATAATATATGTTATCGTTCTTCTTTGGTGAGCAGGAACAATACATTAGGGGTTCAATTGGTTCCCCCTTGCTTCTGTCTACATTGATGCCGTCACATGCAGTAAGTCAACAACACTCCTTCCACATCTGCTTATTTTTATTTTTGAAACTTGATGTTTATACTTCCTTTCTGTTATTTGTCAGGTCATAATCTCCGAGGAGAGTTTCCAAGATGTTTCAAAGTTGTCGTTCAAGATAACTTTGGCTAGACCGGCTTTGAAGTTTAACGAAGAGGCCATTATTGCTTTATACTCAGGTGAGTCACCTTCTCATCACAATGGAAGCCCACTGTTGATTCTCTCTTTAACGAGTTCATCTATGGTTTCCAGGTGATGTGAAATTTGCATCCGGGCTCCAAACCTATTTGTTATCAAGGGATACTTCGAATCTAAAATCAGAGTTTCAAGCTGGAGATGGAAAGGTGTGTGTTGTGCCCACTCAAAATACTGATCTTTAAGTTTTGATAACCCAAATTGTTTTTTACTTGATCCTTTTTCTGTGTTCTTGTATGGCAGGTAACTGTAAGCTGTATTGAGAAGTTTCCTGCTGTGACTCTGGTTCTTGGAGAGCATTTGCACTTGACTGTGTGCGACTACTTCTTGAGCAAGAGGAACGCGTGAGTCCGCTCTTGATTTTGTTTTGATTGATTGTGGTAACTCTCGGGTTATTATTTGAAATGTTATAATCTCATAATTTGTTCAATCCAGATTTTACCTTTAAAGTTTTAAAGTGTTTCTTTAGATTGTTGCAGAAAGTTAAACCTCAGTATTGAGACTCTGTACTCGTTTTGTTTGTACAATTGATGGTTTTGAGTCACAAACATGGTCAAGACTTTCAAAGGTGTTTTTTCCGCAACTTTTACTAGCCCCTTTGATGTATCAAGATTATGGTTTTCGTATTTTAAAATTAAGCATAGTTGGTAGATATTGGTAATGTGTTTTGTAATATCAAGATTATGGTTTCGTAGTATAGTTTGACAGGTACCTATTATATACATCATTTAATATATGCACGTTAAAAAATGATCCTTTGTTTTAAGGTTAGGAAATGTTTTACTTTTACCCATGTGGTTTCATAGACGCATTCGCCCATTTATACTGGAAATACTAGATTTTGATCCACGCTAAACGTGAGATTAAATATGATTTCTAATCGATTTTAATATTTAGATAGGTATTGTAATATTTATAAACGTACAAAATTATATGTATTGTACATAAATATCATAAAGTTAAATTTTGATCAACCATACTTTGATGTTATACGCTTTGATGTTATACGCTTTGATCAATTTTGCATAAATTATTAAAATTAATGCAAATGTTATTTATTTCAATTTATTTAAAGTGTAAAATTAATTTTTATTATTTGTGTAAAATATAGCATACGATAAATCAAATAAATTTTAGATTTATATGAATTTGTCGGAAATAACAAACGAAAATGTATGTTTTTCAATAATAAAAAATAAAAATATTTGTAAATGTAGTTATCGTTTACAAATAAATAATATTATTACAAATATAATAATAAAAACTTCTTAATATATCAATTTTTTTTTAAAAGATCATTTGGTAAGTTTAAATATTATATTTAGTAAAACTTAAATCTGCAAAATATGTATTATTGGGTTTATATTACAAAATTAATAAAAAATGTAGAGATTTCCACTATAGCATATGATTTCAATTGAAATGTTTTCATTGATTAATTTAAATGACATGTTTTTTAAAATCTCCATTGAATGGCATATATGATTTTTTCACCAAATATCTACTCAATTAATATATAGAGGATT